CGTTTCAGCTGCGACAGCGCTCTACAATTATAAGATGTGCAGTAAAGACTTAAAGCTTCCATTAACACACATAAAAGACTCCTTTATGAGAGCTAAGAATGATTTACATTCCTGCTCAGCTGTGTTTATGAGGGGTATTGACAGGGCCTTGAAAACAGCTGTTACTGTGAAAAGGTTGCACTGAGCTAAACGGCATCAGCTTGACTTTTAGACCTGATCAGGAGCAGAAAACAAGGCAAAGTCATAAACGCGGACGAGACGCATAAAGAAAGAAGCTGAAATACGAGCAGCAGCTCAGAGCAAGTGTAGGTTAAGGTCGTCCTCCAGCGGCAGGATAAACCCTCAGGACTAGAAAAGAAAAACTTCTGAATTTCACCACACGCCCTAAAGCTGGACGGCAGCGCATGGGTGAGTTTTAATTAACAAAACAAAATAATCTGTTACACCAGCTTTTTCCAAGCCTGAATAAGTGCAGATCATCAAAAAAGATCCTCAGTGTTTCGAGGTTGTCGTCACCGGTAACAAAGACTGTGCTGTAATTCTACATGAATTCTCTTGCAGTTTGAAGAAATAAGCAAGAAACTCTGACTTTGTGTTTAAGGCGGAGATATTTTATTATAATCTAAATCTGATTTATTTCAGTGACTGCGCCACATTTTTCTCCTTTCATGAAAACAAAATGGAAAAAGTGAGAGATCGGTCTCAAATCTGTACATACAGAACGGAATTGCATAACTCACTAGTTCATTAAATATGCAAAAACTAATAAATCACAAAAGTAATAACTCTTGGCTTCTAAGAAATCAAACTCTCTGTCATAAAACCTTATCTGGATAGTAGGGCTGCACGATATTGACATAAAACACGATGCGCAATAAAGCTGTCGGATATCACGATGACGATACGAAAAGCGAAAAATCACCATTCATTTTTTTTGGGGGTGCGTAAACAGAAATCTAACTAACCCCTTTGAAAAAAATAGCAAAACCCAAACTACAAAAGCAGCGTTTACTATTTCACAAAATAAAAAGAAATGAAATACTAACAATCACATACATCAGAAATAAGAGCACATTTTTTGTGCACTGAAGGGCTGAGAAACAGTCAGCATTACCTCAACAGGCTACAAAAACAAATAAATATAGATTTTTTTAATGTATTTCAAGAACAGAAAAACAGTAGAGCCTGAGCAGCCTGTGTGCTGCATGTTTTCCTCTTTGGTTGCAGCTGTTTTGAGCTGAATCTCCATTAAAGCTTAGTTACGGGGACGTTGTAAGGTCACAGTGTGTGTTTTATAGTATTATAGTTATAAATGTTTGACATTTATGAGGTTTTATGTTCCAATGTTTATGTTTATTTCTACATGATTATCTTCTGTCCTCTCTTTATCCCTCAGGACTAAACAGGCTGTTCTTGGTACTGTAACTTTAATATTTAAATATGCAACTTAGCTCTGTTCTGATTGGCTGCCCTGTATCGTGTCTCTTTCTAAGAGCAATCTGTATATAAGCATATCAGTACGGAGCTCATTTAGGTACATCAGTCTTAAAGGCACAGTAACAAAAACAGCCTGTTTTTTATAGAGAGGTTAGAAAACAGTGATATAAAAGTTAATAATGAGCGTTTTTGGTACCTAAAATCACACAAATTTTGTAAGTTGGCCTCAAGGAAATAATAAAATGCAGGAAAAATGTAAGGAATGGGCCCTTTAAGCCAGCACACACCTACTGTATTTACACATCTATTGTAATTGTGCTGTTCTTTCATGTTGACCATGATAATTTATCTTTCCAATGTCTTACTTTACTAATTATATCAAAGCGTCCAAATAAAGTGAGACCTTCTTTGCTCACAAAGCACTGTATCACTATAAAAACTGTGCTTCAGCAGCGTGAGTGGATTTATTTATTTTCACAAACACATCGACCAGATCTCTGATGAGCCAGCGCTCCTGTCGCGTCACCTGCAGAGGGCGACACAGAGTTTCTAACCTGTGTTTGTGCTCCGGAGGCTAAACCAATCATAAGCCCCCTGCAAAAGACAAACAAACACCTGGAGCACTGGGCAGCCGCTCAATAGCAGCCACCACAGCCCCACCCTGCAGGGCCATCATGCCTGGGACGGCAAACTCAGCCCTGGGTTTGACCGGCGTGCTGGGAGCGGGGGGCTCACGCCAGTGACTATTTACACTCAGTTGGTACCTCCCTGCTTATCTCAGCCCAACTACTGCGGCCAGAGGAGCCTGAAGGACCCCCAGCCACATGAAGGTCATATAGGTAAACAATACAAACGTCAGATTCTTTGTCTCTCTCTCTCTCTCTCTCTCTCTCTCTCTCTCACACCCTCTAAATATTGAGCTGTCTGGCTGGTGTCTGCCTGCTGTTTGAAGGTTGTTTTCTTTGTTGGGTTTGTTTTGGTGGGCTGCGGTGCTGGCCGAGCTGATGAAATTGGCGAGGCTGGGCTTGGCACGCCGGGTCTGACGGCTACGCAGCAGGCTTTTGAGCGATGCTGTTCTGTGCTCTCGGCTGCACCAATGCAGAATCTTAAAAAAACTGTCTTTCTAACTTATGCGCAAAATATGATTTATGGTGATTTACTGGGAAACTCTGTATTTTTGGCCAGCCGAAGTTTCCGAGTTTGACTACTCCTACGGTGGGCTTGTCAGTCAGCCTCGAACTTAAACTTACAAAAAAAACAACAGATCCATTTCCTCTGTGGTCGTTGCATAATGTCTGCCCTGCACGTATTACACATAATTTACAGCTGGAATCGATGCCTCACCGCTCAGTGAGCAGAGTCTGTTCATTAGGCTTACACGAGATACGACAGACGGACAGAGGGAAACACTATATGTCCAAAAGTTTGTGGACATTCAGCATTTATTCTACAATCACATTGTAGTGAGGACGTGATTGCATTCAGCCACAAGAGCATTAGTGAGGTCAGGTACTGATGTTGGATGGTCAGTTCTGGATCACTCCAACTCATCCCAAAGGTACCGGATGGAGCTCCATCACTCCACAGCCCGATGCTGGGGGGCTTTATACCCCTCTAGCCCACGCTTGGCACTGAGCATGACCTTAGGCTCACGTGTGCCTTTTCCAGAGCTTCCTATTCTATTGAACAACTCTTTTCTATGGAGATTATACACAACCCATGAACAAGTGAGAGATTCAAGCAGTGAGGAAAATCTTCTAAATTATTCTCAGACACTATGCAGCAACTGCGGCAGACACAGTGGGGAACTTACACTTTGAGACCCCATAAAAACCCAACATTTTAACAGAAAACGTGAAGTAAATAATATTAAACATTATTTGTTACCTTTATCTGATCATGTTTCCTGGCCATAGATGATCAGCGGAACTTTATCTACTTCTGAAAGTCCCAGGGTTACAGATAACTTAGCTGCTCTAGGGAAAAACCCAGCCACTTTAGCTTGGTTGATTTACTGCAGTTGGGCACACTGAAGAAAGCTGAAGATCCAAAGCATGTTGGCATTTTTTTTCTGTTCCTTGTACTCAAAATAAACTTAACATTAAGTAAAATAAGTAGAAGGGGGAGAGCCACGCAGTAGGAAGTTTTGATGTATACTTAGCAAGCTGTTTAACAGCAAACAAGTCCTCTAGAGTTCTTGGTTAGTTCCCCAACTGAGGTTATCACCTTTAAAGCAACGCCATTGAGTAATTTGCCAAACGTCAATGTTATGTGCTTACATCGCCCAGGCCTCGTGCGCAAACCTCTGCAAATTTCTTACTGGCTGTTCTCTGAATCCCTCGTTCAGTTACATCGCTGACCATCTTGAACTACAAGACTCGTTTTGAGCTGTGAAAATCCAATATTTGATAATACTGGCTTCTGACCTCGATTCCTCTCGTGAGATGATCCACGCTGTTAAATACTTCAAAGCAAACTCCCAACATGGAAAATCACTTGTAGAAAGGGGCAAATCATGTTCACTAATTAGCGCTAATAGCGACTAGCGACTAATATAGCAACTGCAATTTAAATTGTGATTTTTTTTTGGCCAAAAAGACCAGAACATCCACCTTTTCTGGCCTGAGGCTCGACCCCTGAGCGTAGTGTGTCGAACTGCCAGTAAGTTGTTGCTGTGATGTCACAACACATGGAGGTTTGGTGGCCTCTGATTGGTCTAACTTACCTACAGGCAGTTCACAAACTCTCGTTAGCTTCGTTTCCCCTCTTAAAACTTAAAACAACATTTTTGCTAACGTACACACCTTCTAAAGATGGTTCTTCAAGGGTTCTTTAGTAAAGACAATGGCTCTATGTAGAACCATAAGAACTATAAAAGGTTCTCTGTGTGGTGAAATGGTCCTTCAGATTAATATAGAATGTGATGTATATGGTTCTACATAGAACCTTTTTGAAAAGAGTTCTCTATAGGACCAAAATCTTCTTCTGTTGTTATAAGCTTGACATCAACAAGCAACAAAGTAACAGTACCAACCCTTTTTGATGCTGTACAGAACCACATTCAACACATTCTCCAATCTGAAGAACCATTTCACCATGCAAAGAACTTTGTATGCATGCGAATGGGTCTGAGTGTTCATGGTTCTATACAGAATGACTGTCTTTACTAAAGAACTCTCTTTTTTAAGAATCTTGAAGGACTGTTTTTTAAGAGTGTGGGCTATAATAAAAAAAAAATTGCAGCTCTTAAACTGATTTCGATATAAAAACGATTAATCTTTCAGCCCTAAATCTGACCAAAAATTGTGGTGAAGGCCTGGCAGATAAATTCAAGCATTAGAAGGGCTATCTGGAGACTTCTGGACACAGAGTGTTGATGATTACATAGACAGACAGATACATGGGAAAGAAACTGTGCTGTTACAGCAGAAACAAAAGGGACTGTGCAAATTATTCGGGGGTAAAATCTGGGCAATAAAATAAAGATGTGAATGTTTGCATTAAGCACACGTCTGTAAACCTTCAGCGTTGTTACTGATGAATAAAGACGTGTTTTCACCCACCTTGCCGGCGCTTTCTTCATGTGCTCCCCCACGAACGTGGCATTGGTCATGCCCATCAGGGTGTTGGCCAGTGAGATAACAGACAGCAGGTGCTGCGTGGTGACGGCGCGGGACACTCCGTACGTTCCTTTGCCTACGATCTCTGAGACGGAGAGTTTTCTGCCCTCAGCGCAGCCCCGGGCCAGCTGCCTCAGGAGGGAGTCCTTAAAGGTGGGCAGCATGAGGGACATGTGCCCCCCGCGGGAGATGAGGCCGAAGGAGATGGGCGTGTGGGGTCTGAGCATGCCCAGACGGCTCAGACACACCTCGTCCAGCGAGCCGTTCAGGCCCCAGGCGTGCAGGCAGGACATGAAGAGCTTGGCTGTGTCCATGGTCAGATTGTATTCTAGCAGGCTGAGGGATTTGGACTTCTCCTCTCGACGTCGCATCTCCTCCTCCTCATCCTCGTCTTCGTCCAGCAGGTGCTCCTTGATGTTCTCTTTGATGGTCTCCTTCACCTGGGACAGGTGAGATTAAAGTGGCGGTGGATAAGATGAAGTAGAACATCAGTTTGTTTTTGAGAATTATTATTATTAATTACTGTTCTTTGTTCGCGTCTTTTGTTGGTGAAGGGAATCATTTAGACACAACAGACAAATATGGATAAAAATATTGAATTATTAATATAGATTTGGGGGATATATCTAATTGCAATTTTTCCGACTAATATTGCGACTGCAATTTAAATTGCAATTTTTTTTTTTTTTTATTTGAGGCCTGATTTTTTTTTTGGCCAAAAAGACCAGAACATCCACCTTTTCTGGCCTGAGGCTCGACCCCTGAACGTAGTGTGTCAAACTGCCAGTAAGTTGTTGCTGTGATTTCACAACACATGGAGGTTTGGTGGCCTCTGATTGGTCTAACTCACCTACAGGCAGTTCACAAACTCTTGTTAGCTTCGTTTCCCCTCTTAAAACTTAAAACAACATTTTAACGTTTTAAGTTTTTTTTTTTTTACAGTACACACTCAATAAAGATGGTTCTTCAAGGGTTCTTTAGTAAAGACAATGGCTCTATTTAGAACCATAAGAACTAAAATTCAGGCTTTTAATGCGACATACTTTTGCTTATTCTTTCACATTTAACAACTTGACAGCTTGTGTTATGCTATTTTATCACTTTTACATGGGGTATTAAACTGCATTAGCTACATTAGCCTCACAGTAGGCTTTGACCACTTGAAAACAACATTGTGACTTTCATGGTTGCCAATCAAGTTGGACAATTTAAAAGTCAGAAAATTTTCTGTTTGTGGCTTTAAGATGGACAAAGTGATCATATTTGTTACGCAACAGCGTAATAACAATTATAGACTACACTAACAGCAGCCTAATGGTTACAAACTACAAAGTAGCCATTTTAATACTTAACAGGAAGCGATTTGTTGGCTGTAAATACACAATTTTAATTAATATACAGCAAAATCTACCAAAGTTATTAAGAACTACCAAACTATACTACTAATAAAGTCAGCCGTAGGGATGTCCACGTTCGAGGTGCCAGTATTTAAATACTGAAAATACTATTCAGGTATTGGTTATGTTTCATCACAGGAGGACGGAGTAAATAGACGATCCAACAATTCAGTGAGACAGATTTTTAACACTTAATACTTGGTTAATATCGCTGCAGCGGCTGGCTGCAGTTTCAGCTCACTAGCTCACCTGAGACAGACTCCGTTATGTTACTCGTCCGACGAGAAAAACCTTCAATTTCCCTCTGTTATTTTTAAATAATAAAATTTGAAATGTCTTCCTCTGTATGATGCTAAATTTGTGTGCAACACCAGTGCTGACACCACAGGTCTACATTAATCCCAGCCGAAATCTAGATATTTTTTTTCGCCACCTTTTTATTTTGTTTCTCTGCGGTTAACCCGATATCTGCTCTTATAGATAATCGACTGTCTAAATTAGTCAAAATGCACACCCCTAGTTATCCTACAAGTATCTGACGAGAAATACGAGCATGTTTATTTTCCTCCACTTTAAACAGGCGTCGCCGAATTACCTACAGTGCTGAAATGGCTTAGTAAAGAAAAGGTGGCGTAGAAATAAACCAAGAGGATCTTCAGAGTTTCGAGCAGCTTCTCAGTCAGTATTAGTGCCTACTTTTTTTCCTGTGTGCTGTGAAAAGGTGCCCCGAGAAAAAAAAGTGCCTTTTATTTGCCACGCCCACCCTCCCATCTGCCATGACAGTACCAGCAATGGTTGGGGCACCACTGAACGAATGCTGCACATGATCTGGCAAACCTGAAGCACTAAAACTAAAGGAGCAAACTTCAGACATTAAACCTCTCGGCTGATCATCTATATTTGGGGTTCGGGGGGAAAACTGTGTACATGTGCTCCTCTCCTGCTCACGCTTGTGTACTGACCTGTTTAAAGATCTTGTTGGCCAGGAAGGAGCCGCCCTTATCCGCTCCGCCGGGGGCCTTCTGGAGCGTTTCTGGGGAGACGAGGGTGGGGTTGGGCCGCTGCGCCTCCTCCGTCAGCAGCTGGATGATAACAGCCTCCACGTCGAAGAACAGCACGTGCATGTCCGGATCAGTCAGGTTCGTCTTCATCGCTTGGACCACCAGTGAATTGTGGGAGTATTTGGGCAAGTTACCCTGCAGGACAAACAAAACATTACAGCTAAACCAAAGTCATTTCTAAGTAATAACTGCGTACGAAGCTTCCAAAAAACTAAATAAATAAAGCTCGAGTGTTCGCTTTGTAAATACATTATATGCCAACAAGTTTCTTCTGAAATATTCAGCATTTCTTCTGAAATAAGGGTATTAAAGGGCCTCATACTGTGGAAAAAAATGGAAGCTTTTTCTAAATAAAACAGTTTAATGTAGTATCAAAAAGGCCCAATCCCATTTCACCCCTCACCCCTACCACTCAGCCCTCTGTTTCACACATTCACATCTAGGGGTAGGGTGTCCCCATTCTTGTTGAGATAGAGGGGTGGGGCAAAGTGTTGGGGCCACACGACCCTCCAAAAAGAGGGTCACTCCAAATTAAGTGAGAAAAAAAGAAAAAAACAGGCAAGATGGCTGAGCAAGAGCCCAAAGAAACCCACAAATGTGAGAATTTTTCCCGTTAGAAATTCTGATAACCACTGTATTCTCTTAGTTTAATGTCGTTTCAGTGTATTATGGTCCTTTTCTTCATAACAAGCATAAAAAAAAAAATCGCTAATAGTTTGCTGATGTCTCGGTAGCCAGCTAAACTTCCCGTTCCACCTTAAATAGTCCACAAGTTCTGACTCCTGAAGTGCCAGAATGTAACTGCTGCTCCATTTAAGGTGGAAGAAGAAAATTCAAACAAGAAGCTGGAGAATATCTGACTTCAGCTTCGTATCACCGAAGAATCACTGAAAAGAATTAAGTTAATGAATTGATGCTCTTTTTATTCGAGGGTCCCATTTCAGCGGGAGGATTTTAACCACTACTCCTTGTAACTCAGTTTCGAGGGTTAAGGAGACACTCAAAAAACAAGGGGCAGGGGTAAAAATAAGAGTACGTAAACACGGCTGAAGGTTCAGAACATACAGGTTCGCATCCCACTATCTGATTATTTAGTCTACAGCAGTTTAGATCCACTCATTCACACTGAAGTTAAACAGCCCAGAATGAGGCACAACACCAGTCAGCCAATCAGCTCTGTTGTCTTTGCATATATCAGTCTTAAAGGCACGGTAACAAAAACAGCCTGTGTAAATGTGAAGGATAAAGCCAGGTTGACTGCTTTTGGGTACAGGAACCCTTACAGACGTCATATGTGGAACCCAGGGAAAACAATAAAATATAAGAAAAATGTAGAATACGGACCATTTAATAGTGAGTTTGTCTCCCTTTACTGCACTACCAGCCTCTACTCCTCTGGCTTTACACTAGATATTGGAACATTGCTGTGAGGATTTGATTGAGCATTAGTAAGGTATGTTGGATGGTCAGTTCTGGATCACTCCAACTCATCCCAAAGGTATTAGATGGAGCTCCATCACTCCAGAAAACACAGTTCCACTGCTCCACAGCCCAAAGCTGGGGGGCTTTATACCCCTCTAGCCCACGCTTGGCATTGGGCATGGAGGCTTTAGGCTCATGTGCTGATGCTCCAGAGTGTCCCATTCTATTGAGGATGCCCTCTAATTCACAAGAAGGGCTGTCCAGACACTTTTGGACACATCAAAATGTCTCACACTGAAAGGCAGACATGATTCTGCCTCATGTTGCTGGAAATGCCATTCGTTAATCACCTTAAAGCCCTGAACAATTAAAGCCTGTATGATTTGTTAGAGTGTGTATTTGCACATTGTGCCCTTTTTGTGATCTCTTCGTTTCCGGGGCCAGTAACGATTAACAAACGTTACGCGCTAATCCAAACAGCCTAAATTAAACGTGAAGCACAATAACGATTACAGCCTTTATGAGCGGCTCTGATGACTTTGCTTAGACAAGACGATCCCCGGCCGCTTATGTCACCAGGCAGAAAGGTCTTAGACACTCCTCTGAGGACATTAGTCAAAAGTTCTCCTCTGTGCATGCTAATCTACTTATTCCACGCTCTACGTAATAATCTCTAATGCTCATTACCCCCTAAAGCATTCATTCCGCCTCATCTCGTTTTTAAACCCAGGACGGTATTAAATTGCTGCCTTGCTAATTGCTATTCAATGTTAATTCAATGGCTGAAGCACCTGCTCTCCATTTTAAGTACATGGGAGGATGTTTGCGAGTACCGGGGCCGTTTCTGACGCAGATCAGACAAAGAGAGTCTCTGAAGGAGATTAAAAAATGAAAGAAGAGTAAAAGGGTCACCGTAGTTTGACCATTTCAAGAGGAATCTTCCATGGAAATATTATAATAAGATTGTTTAAGAAGCATTAATATTTGTTTATCACACAAAAGTGTTACAAATAATTAGGGCTGTCAAAGTTAACAGGTTAATAATGCATTTACACAAACTATTAACAATACTAAATATTTATCAGCGTAACTAGAGGTGTGACGGATCACAAATCTCACTGATCGGATCATTTCACGGTTTCTGAGTGACAGATCGGAACGTTTTCGGATCAGAATAAAAAAACAAAATTAGGACAAATGTAACTTTGCTTTCCGTTTATTAAAACATAAAGAACATTAAGAAAACTTAAAGCATGGAGGTTCTGCCCATGATCTTCAACGAAAACATGTTTAATATTTAAATAAAATCAGCAACATAAAAATAATCAATTCCCATTTATTTAACTGAAGTGCCTGATAACTTTTCCAGTACATACTGTAAAGTCCGTCATCAGAATATGTTACAGGGAAGCCAAAATGCTCCTAGACATGTTTCAACGATGCAGGAGGCTTTGGAAGGTCTTCCTCTACTCTAAAAGCCATGACTACTGTCGCTGCTGACTGCTTGGAACAAGCTTCATTCACACACAGCGGCTTTGTCTGTCGTTCCACTGCAACTCCATCCAGATTCAGACTATTAGCGCTTTAAGTTATATAAAAAATGTTTGATTTAGGGCAAAATCAAAGTTCTGTCAGTCGAACTGGATTTGGCCGTTCAATACGAAGATTCCACTGTTCGTTCATGTTTTTTTCCCGCTTATTCACACCGATCAGGCATAACATTCTGACCACCTCCTTGTTTCTCCGCTCATTGTCCATTTTATCAGCTCCACTTACTATATAGGAGCACTTTGTAGTTCTACAGTTACAGACTGTAGTCCATCTGTTTCTCTGCATACTTTGTTAGCCCCCTTTTACCCTGTTCTTCAGTGCTCAGGACCCCCATGGACCCTCACAGAGCAGGTACTATTTGGGTGATGGATCATTCTCAGCACTGCAGTAACACTGACGTGGTGGTGGTGTGTCAGTTTGTGTTGCGCTGGTACGAGTGGATCAGACACAGCAGTGCTGCTGGAGTTTTTAAACACCTCAGTGTCACTGCTGGACTGAGAATAGTCCACCAACCAAAAATATCCAGCCAACAGCGTCCTGTGACCACTGATGAAGGACTAGAGGATGACCAACACAAACTGTGCAGCAGCAGATGAGCTATCGTCTCTGACTTTACATCTACAGGGTGGACCGACAAGGTAGGAGCGTCTAATAGAGTGTTTAGAGAGTGTTTAGTGTAATAGAATATCTTATTTTTTTTCCATTGTGTTGCGTTCAGGATTATTTATTTTTTGGCAACTGATCCGCAGTTAATGTGCGTATGGAACCACGAGGGGTGACCCGTACGGATCACGGTTTATCCGTGGCCCGTTACACCACTAGCATTAGCACATTTTCCTAGCTTGACCCTTCAACCCGTCTGTAGTAGTGTAGGCTGAAGCCCAGCTGCAGAGCGCTGTATACTACTATTATAGAATCCATAACTGTAGCCTTATTGATCAAATACAGCTTTTAAAGTGATACTTTCTGCAAACTCTGCTGGGCACGTCTCGCAGGAGAACTAGGAATAAACCAATGAGCAGCAAACTAACAAAAGCATCAGCAAGTGGAGCTTAATTTCCTCTCGAGAGTCTCCACTGTAACACGAATTCACAAGCAGTATGAATGAGAGCAAGTGGCTACAATCATGGTAGAAAGTCAGAGCTGAACTCACATTTCAGACATTTAACTGACTTAAATGCTTTTGCTTTAAGTGACCCAAAACAAATGAGTGAACATCTACTTTAACACTAACACATCAATCGTAACACTACTACTCGACCAAATGTTCCAGTAGTGACTGTTTTGGTGACCATTTGCACTCATTCTGAGCAGAACTCCACAACGCAGCCAGTACATGACTAGCAAACACCGCTTTGAACAGCTGGACACATAAAATTATATGTTTATTAAAACAAACAAAACAAATACTTAATTGCAGATATTGTGTGTTTCGGTAGTGACGATTCTTAACGTTCCACACTGATTTTCAGACTTCGGGACACGTTTACTGCAAAACAAAGGGATCTAACTGCTCACCATGTCGCCATGAGGGACAGGGATGCAGCCTCACTTCCTGCTCTAAAACAGAGCGGCTAAAATAAAGTTTTTTTTTTTCTTATTTAAAAAGTTAAACTCTTGATAAACCTCAATGTCTCAACTTTAAAAGAAATCAAAAACATCTTTAAAAGTATTATTATCAAAACTATTTCAAAAGTGTAAATTTAGGGGTTAGGGTTTGGGACAGACACCTCCAAATAGAGAAAGTACCCAATAAATGATGAAAAAACAGCCTGTTCTGAATTCACGACAAACAACTCATTTGCATATATCTGATCTGAGTGCCTTCTGAAAGTGGACAGCCAGTCAGAACAGAGCTCATTTACATACATCAGTCTTAAAGGCACAGTAACAAAAACAGCCTGTTAAATACTTAAGATAGTTTGGAAAATGGTCATGTAAAAATGAATCATGACCATTTTTGGTACATTAAACTGCACAAATGTTATAAGTGACCTCAAAGGAAAGAATAGTTTAGGATACTGGCTCTTTAATTAACATCACTGAGATCTACACTGTTATTAGAGCAGCACTGATGGCCAATAGCCTTGAAAGGACACTGCTAGAGTCCTTTCAGCATTTCACGACTCCATGACCATCAAACCCCACCCTCCCTTCAGACC